AACGGCTGAATAAAAATAAGATAATAGTAAATTAAAATAGATGTTATTGACTTATTCACTCCTGATTATATGTATATTATGAAAGAGGATTTCTCATTATAATATTTGGTAAAACTCACTACATTTTAATGCCTATTTCCCTCAATATTTTAACACCACATAATTAATATTCATCACAATGTCTATGTTTAATATTTGATAAAGAATATCACCATAGAAACCAATACAAAGTTGAAATACTGATTATTAACTATCTTGTTAAAGATTTTTATCACTTTCTGTATACTTGTCACATGAATCCATAATATTAAAAATAATTTTTAATTTTGTTAAAACCTCAGATTGAATAAACATTGGGTTGATATTGAAGCACATAATGAATGGATGTTCTTATGCTTTGGTGCAAAGTTTTGGAGTGACTGACTTAGCATTACAAGCATTGTATAGTAGTGATTGTTTGAACTAACTGATACAACAAACCTTATGATGTATAATTTATTTGGTTTGACAGCTTTTGGAAATGCCAAGACACTTAGAAATGACAATTCTTCCAGATTTGTAAGTATTTTGATATTATCAAATCTATGTTGAGCCATTAGATTTATTGTTTTCTGCAATCACTGATTTGCAATAATCAACACTACTGTTAGGAAATTTCTATTTATGTTTTTAATTAGTTGCATACTACTGTTGTATTCTTCTCAGGGAAATTAAAATTGAAACACAAACTACAAACTAATACAGTGATTTTATATTTGTTAGCGTCAGTGTTGAATGTGGGTGCATATTTTGACATCAAGTCTTCCATGAGTTATAGTATTGTCAGTATAAGTAACTTTTGTGTTTTGCATTACAGGGAAAATACATGGATATGGAATTTGATTTCAAGGGAGATCCAGTTGGTGGTGTCATCACAAACTGTAAGTATGATACATCACTATTGGTAAACAGTGTCAAACCAGAGCAAGAAAGTGTTAGTTTCTCACCACTTCATTGGCGATAGTAAGAACCAGATGTCAGTAATGTTCTTTCCAAGATCTGTTACTTTGTAGTGGTGTTGTTTTCACTAAGTAGTAAAAATAATATTTAGTAGTAAATTATAATATAACATAACACCATTTAGTCTATTGTGTTTTTATTGTGTTTTTATTTGTAGATTTACTAGAAAAGTCGCGTGTGATAGATCAGAGTCCTAAAGAACGAAATTTTCATATGTTTTATCAACTACTTTCTGGGGCTCCCAGTCTTCTACTTGGTAGGTACTTTTCTTTATTAAACATGACACTGTCTTGAGAGAAAGATAGCCTAGGTCATCAGTGCTACATAGATAATAATTGATATACATGTATTTAGTAAATAAACTGAGATGTGAAGTCCTCCATTACAAAACCACAAGGAGATAGATTGAAATAAATATTACTCCAAGCCCCCAACTAAGCTCACTCTTGGTATGTGTTACAACCATCTTAGAGTTCAACCATCGTAGCCTCACTTAGGGTCACTCACTTCCAGGTATGTAATTGACTCTAAATGTTTCTAATTGTGTTTTCAGAGGAGCTTATGTTAGATAGAGATGCCGAAAAATACAACTTTTTAAACCAAAGCGGATGCATAAATGTGGACACTATTGATGATAAGAAAGACTTCGCAGTAACTCAGGTATGTGTGTGTGGTGATCACCCTAAGAAAATGTCACCATAAATCCTACAACCAATAGTTGAATTCTAAGAATTTCACTTGATACTGTAAAATGACTAATTTGTATGCTAAATTTTACATATTCACTTTGTTTTAAATTAGGAAAGTGCAGACTATAAACCTATAAACAGGAATATTTTGTGATGAAAAGAAGGAACTGGTGTTGAAAAATCTCACACAATATTGCCAACATTGTTTTTTTATACATTATAGAAAGCCATGCAAGTGTTAGGATTTTCAGATGAAGAAATTCTAGGCATCTATAAACTCTTAGCGGCCATTTTGAAACTTGGTAATATCCAGTTTGAGTGTTACACGGAAAAGAGTGGCATGGAAGCTGTGAAAATATTGCAAGAAAAAGGTTAGTAGAGATTATTTAGTTTGTATGCTTTATTAGTCTGTGCAATTCACATTATTATTATTCTTTATTCCGCACTATATGGCCGCTGGCCTAAAGTACTATTACATTTCAAAACTAAAATTACACATGGTCGCTTTAAAATTACAAGATACATATACTTCAAATTATACTTCCATTTCAGTTTCTCTGTAATGAAAACTCTTAAACAAATATTTACCCAAACCTAATAAAATATACATAAATGCCTAGTCATAAAATAACTAAACAGAAATTATTGTATATTGTTTTGCCAAAATTTGTACAATTCTATATGAAAGATGTATCATTACTTGCAGAGATGATTGAGATATGTGACTTGTTAGACTGTGAACCAAATGATATATTACAATCATTGACCAAGCGTAGTATGATGGGTGGTAAAGGTGATAAAGTTGTGACATCATTGGACCCTTCACATGCTGTCTATGGTAGAAATGCTGTCTGTAAAGCCATATATGCAAGATTATTTGAGTGGATCATCAAGACAATCAATGAAAGCATCAGGGTATGTATTTATTGTTATGAGATGTAATTGTTAGTGTCTGCCGAGCATTAGGAAGTTGTGAGTACATGGATAAATCAATAATAATGAGATTATAATTGAGTATAGTATTGTGCACTCCACATAAAACTATACATCTGGCTGTGATCAGTTTGTTTAGGCCAATAAAATTCCACATTTCATAATAATTTATGTAATTATTGTCAATATTATCAGGTTAAAGCCAAGACTAAGAGGAAAGTGATGGGAGTACTTGATATCTATGGATTTGAAATATTCCAGGTGAGATAGTAGGGTTTTCATTCATATAGTTATCTGTATACATACATTGTTTGAATTGAAATGAGACCAGCTACTTTAAGAGGAATGAGGAGGGTGATGGTTATAAATGATGACAATAGTAGTGAGCTCAAGAAGAAGCTAAAAAAAAAATCAAAATGATGATGATTCTATTATAATCCTATTATTTTTCAGAACAACAGTTTTGAACAGTTTATTATCAACTACTGTAATGAGAAGCTGCAGCAGATTTTTATTGAGTTGACATTGAAAGAAGAACAGGATGAGTATGTACAGGAGGGAATTGAGTGGACACACATTGAATATTTCAATAATGCTGTTATTTGTGACCTTATTGAAAAGGTATGACATATTGCAATTGAATAAGGAGCATTCTGTATTTACAAAATCTATTTGACTTCAAGGAAGAACAGAGATTATTGCATGCACCTCTAATGGAGTAAAAACTGTATTGAGATTATCTTGGTTTTTCTGTACACAAAGATCATGTATCATCAGAACTAATCTATAGAATTTGTCACAGGATGTTACCGTATTTGTTTCACATGCTTCATGTGTTTTCATTGTACAAGACTTCTCTGTATTAAAAACTATTTGTCTTGTTACCTTTGAACATATTCAAATATCAGTTCATGTGTCTATATCACAGTTTGTACATGTACCTTGAATCCAGAAACTGCTGTGCTGACATCTCTACATACTCTAACATTCAACTATTCTTTGTATCCAGAATAACAAAGGTATCCTGGCGATGCTGGATGATGAGTGTTTGAGACCTGGTACTGTTACTGACATAACATTCCTGAATAAATTAAACTCTTCACCGTTCATAGCCAATCAAAAGTTCTATGAAAGCCGTACCAAAATGAAATCTGACAAATCTATTCTACATCACTGTTTTAGAGTGAAGCACTATGCAGGAGATGTATGTATAACTTTCTATAACTGTAAATTTATTGACCTCATAGTACCTGCAGCTATTTAATGTAGCATTGTTGGTTTTATGAATGTTAATTTCTTGTTGAATTTAAGGTGATAATCTGTTTATTAATCCAGTGCTAATGTTAAAAGTTGACTTTTTTTATTTTGAAGATCTTCATGTTTGCTACTGATTTGATACCACTTTTTAACTGTCTGCACAATGATGGTGTTTGGTACTCCAACCATTGTTGGTTTTTTTTCAATCTTGGGAATTTGACTGTTTACCTCCTCTAATGTATTCTTTCAGTGTCTGATAAAAAAAATTGTGGAAAATGTTTTTGTGAGAAGCCTCAGTTACAATCTGAAAAAGATTACTTTCAACTTCAAAACATTAAGTATCAACTATATATATATTTTGATGAAGTTATTTTAAATAATATATCTATTTCAAAAATTTGTGTAATAACTTTTGAAAATTTGTTATTTTTCAGGTAACTTACAATGTGAATGGATTTATTGACAAGAATAATGACTTGTTGTTCCGAGATTTATCACAAGCAATGTATAAATGTGATCATCTTTTACTCAAGTTATTATTCCCAGAGGGCAATCCAGAACAGTATAGTAAGAAAAGACCACCAACAGCTGGCTATCAGTTCAAGGTACACCAATCTTTAGAATAAATATATTTCAAATGTGTCACCAAATCTTGGATTAAAGTAATCCTACATATCCATTTGCTGTAACTTTATGCAGCTTAATGCTTAGTTTGAAATAGTGGTAAATCTTAGTGGTGGCCTGATCTGATCCATATCTCCCAAGATTATCTTATTACAATATCATAGGGATTGTCATACAGTAACCTAACAATTACCCTCATACATCTATTTGGCTTCAGTTGGTGTCACCAAGGCTGTTTCTTTGATGCTCTTGTATCATTAGAATACATTCTGCTTTTACTTTCAATAATGTAGCCTGACGGGGTCATGGAGTTCACCCTCCGCACTGCTTCAAACCAACACATGCCTGACAGAAAGATTGTAGTTTTTCACGTCCCTCCATTTTTTGTCAGTACCAATCAAATTGCAGGAACGTCAGATAGTGATAGCCATCAAAGAGTAGTCATTCACAGCGGAGTTTATTTGTTGAAATAATGTGTGATAAGGTGCTGGCAAATTTACGCTCAATGTTTATCATCTTGTTGAAAACAGTAATATTTGCTGACAGTGCATACACAGCTTTGGATGACAGTGTTAATTACCATGACCACCAAAATGAATATTCATTTGAACTCATTGCAAGAAGGCGCGAACTTCTGCAAATTCCCTAACTATTAAAACTATTCTGTCAGGCGTTAGTGAGGTCTGATGCCATTTGGCCGGTGAGCCCTACTCACACCTACATGTC